AAAGGGGCAGTGTCCCAATCTTCCTGATGTCCCAAAAAAGGTGTTTAAAGGGCCAGCACCAGTCACATAAAAAGTCCATAAGCCCCAATATGCCCACCGACAGTCTTAAAGGGCCATACACACCAAATAAAAGTGCATACATTTTCACAATCTCCCAGGGGCCATAGTCATGCGGGAGGAGGCTGGCAAGTAGGCTTCTCCACAACCCAGGGAAGAAGGGCAATTTGCCATTTAAAGGGCCCGTTACAAATAGCAGTTTGTAACAAGGTGTCAATCCATATCTGCCAAGTGACCCTATGTTGGGGTAACATTCCCTATTCTGCTCTGTGTCAGTGTGTATCAGGGATCCTTAGGACAGGTGTCAATCCACATCTGCCAAGTGACCCGATGTTGGGGTAACATTCCCTATTCTGCTCTGTGTCAGTGTGTATCAGGGATCCTTAGGACAGGTGTCAATCCATATCTGCCAAGTGACCCTATGTAGGGGACCAGTCTCTATTCTGCTCTGTGTCCGTGTGCATCAGGGGCTCTGAGGACAGGTGTCAATCCATATGTCAAGGTGTCAATATGTCATATGTCAGGTGTCAATCCATATTCATTGTGATTTAGGAATGTTAGGTGATTTCTGCCCTTTATGGATTAAAACCAGACTCTGTATCAACTGTGTAATTTTCCATGGGAGTTTTGCCATGGATCCCCCTCCGGCATGCCACAGTCCAGGTGTTAGTCCCCTTGAAACAACTTTTCCATCCCTATTGTGGCCAGAAAGAGTCCCTGTGTGTTTTAAAATTCGCCTCCCCATTGAAGTCAATGGCGTTTCGGGCGGTTCGCCGGTTCGCGAACATTTGCGGAAGTTCGCGTTCGCCGTTCGCGAACCGAAAATTTCGGGTTCGCGACATCACTATTTAAGGGTTTTATTGGACTGCAAGAAATGCACTGCAGGCCGCAAATGTTCTATTTAGCACAAAGAAGTGTGATTTTTTTTAAACCAACAATGTAAGAGTAGTATTTAAGGGTTTTATTGGCCTGCAAGAAATGCACCGCAGGCCGCAAATGTACTATTTAGCACCAAAAAAATTTGATTTTTTTCAAAGTGCGATGTAACCACAGTATTTGACGGTTCTATTTGACTCTCAGATATGAAGTGCCGACCCAAATTTACTTTTTAGCACCAAAAAAATTTAAATTAGTCAAACTGCAATGTCACAGCAGTATTTGTTGGTTCTATATGACTCTCAGATATGAAGTGCACGCCCCAAATATAATTTTTAGCACCAAAAAAATGTGAATTAGTCAAACTGCTTTGTCACAGCAGTTTTTGACGGTTCTATTTGACTCTCAGATATGAAGTGCACGCCCCAAATTTACTTTTTAGCACCAAAAAAAGTAGAATTTGTCCAACTGCAATGTCACAGCAGTATTTAAAAATGCCTAGATGTTGCCCACTGAGCTACCAGAACAGGATTAGAGTAATGTGCCTTACACATATGCAGTGCAGTTGCAAGTGCCCACCTAACAAACAGACTGAGTGCTTATTTCTCTGTGTTTTTTTTTTTTTTTTTATGTAATGTGTTAATATACTTTTTACAGTTTTATATGAGCTGGAGGGCCAGAAGGTCGGAGTTGCTGCAGGGGAAGTGCTTGGATTGTCAGGAAGTCCCTCCCCCACAAACGGGATCAGTACAGATCAGCAGGACGGGTGGCTGTGAAGGTATAATGCTTGAACTAGTTGTGATAGAAGGAACTGCCATGCTAGCGTAAACACAAGTTATTGTGGAGTTGGTGGTCTTCTTTGTGGCAGATTATTCTGCTACTGTAGACTTACCAAATGCAAGAAACAAATTAAAAAAAATGTCTCCCCGTGTGGATAATCTAACATACAAGACATGCTAGTCCCACTATTCTGATGGATTTATTTTTATTTCTTTACTGAACACACTCTCAAAAAAGATTTTTATTCTACAAATCAGTTTAAACCAACATGGTATCAATGGCAGTGGCTAAGCACAACAGTAACCTAACCACCAGCCTCACACTAGGATAAATTAAACTTAAACTAAAATGATCGTCTCCAAGACAAAGTTTGTATAAGTGGCATTGTGCCGCCCGCATGGGCTTGGTACTGTCACGGTAGTGTACCCCAACACGCAAGATTTAGTCCAACAAGAGACAAGATAAAGAAGATACGTCTTACCGGACCTTAGAATGGCCGGACTCAACGTAGTACAGAGAAGTGACAGAGTCAGGAATGAGCCGAGGTCAAGGGAACAGAGAGACAG